TCTAGAAGATTTATGAATGTTACTTTTATTTACTTCCTATTTATAACCTTCATAGGTGGGTTAGCCAATCATAACCTCAAAAATATTTTTAATTTGGTATGTCTCAGTATTGACTCACATGTACACTGCAATAAAGAAGCTATTTTAAGTATTCTATCTTAGCATTTCTCAATCTAAAATATTAAAACATATAAGAAGAAAAACTACAAAATTATGATAATTTTGGTCAATCCATTGTTTCAGACATGCTACCAGGAAAACAGAAATCAGGTTTAAGACTGAGGATTTGTTGTCCTCACCTTTAGAATGGACATCTACATAGAATGAATAATCCTCCCACTCCAACTGCAGCCAATAGAGTGGTCCAAGTCTGCAGCAGATTCCTAGGCAGGAGTATGAAAAGAAGCAAGTGGGAGGCTTCACTTGTAGAGTTCTAGGTTTGAGACCTGGATACCTTTATTCTCATTTCAAAAATTATAACTCAGTGTGTGTGTGTGTGTGTGTGTGTGTGTGTGTGTGTGTGTGTGTGTTGGTTTGGTATATATTTTAAAATTCCCTCTTTTTGTTTGTCTGCTCGTTTATTTATTTATTTATTTATTTTTACAAAATGTCATGGTTTAAAGAAGCTAGAATCTAAAGTCATCCAAGGAAAGCATAAATATCCATTACTTCCATGCTGTCCACACTGCATCCACACAATCTGTACCTTACAGTGACTCTGTATAATATAAATAAGATTTAGGTCAAACGTGCACTGACCCCTTATTATGTGGTCCCAATTTATTTGTCTTTCCTTGAAATTTACCTTTCATTTGTATTGAGCATCTTGAACTTACTTTTGTGGATAAACTAGGATTGACTCTCCCCACTTTGCAATAATTTTTTACCTTTGACTTTGTGTTCCATAAGAATATTTCAGTTAGAAACCTCATAGTGGGAGACATCCCCAGGATTGTTAATATTCAGAATTTGGGTTTTTCCCATACTCTCTAAATAATAAGCATATACTGTACTGCTTGATTTGTTACTTTGGTATGTTTGAAATCCTTCTGGATGTTTCTTTACTCTTAGGAAAAACACAAAATTCCTTAATAAGACTTTTTGCAGAATCTGGCTCTTAATTATCCACAAGATAAATTTTTCATCTCCTCTGTTACTAAGTTCTATCTTTTACTTTGAGATTTTTTTTGATACTTTTACCCTTCCTGTCACAACTTAAAGTTAACTTTAAAAAAATGAAAAATAGAAATTCACCAGCTATAGCTCTTCTGGATGTCTTTCCAAAAAAGTTAAAATCAGCATATCATAGTAACATATGTATGCTCATGACATGATCCTCTACACAGAAGATCCAAAAAATTTCAGCAAAATACTTCCAGAATTAATAGCCTAATTCAAGAATGTGGCAGCAGAGAAATCAACACAAAAATGAACAGTATTTTTGTATACCAATAATAAATTCACTGAAAAAATAATTAGGAAAACAGTACTATGCACATTAGAATCAAGATAAATTAAATAATTAGGAATTAACATAGCCAAAGAAAGTGAAAGCCTGCAGTACTCTGAAAAAGAAGATTGAAGAAGATCCTAGAAAATGAAACAATATCACTGTTCCTGAATAGGAAGAATTAATATAGTAAAAATAATCATATATCCAATACTGTTATGCAGCTTTATGTAATTCTAATCAAAATACAATAGCTTTCCTCACAGAGCTAGAAACAATAATCCTAAAATTCATCTGGAATAAAATAAGGCCTAGAATAGTGAAAGCAATTCTGAGTAATAAGTACAAAACAGGGGAAATCACAATCCTGGACCTCAAGTTCTACTATAAATCTCCAGTGTTTAAAAAAAAAAAAAAAAGCACAGTAGAAGCAACAAAGCAACTTTATAGGTCAGAAAACCAAAAGGATAAGGAAACAACCCCAGGCACATTTGGTTATCTGACCTTTGACAAAGGGGCCAAAAACACACTGGAGAAAATGTAACCTATTTACAATATGGTGCTGGTAAAAATGAATATCTACAAGCATAAAATTGTGTTAAGACTCATGTATTTCACCACATACTAAAACTAAAATACAAATGAATCAAAGATCTGAATGTTAAAACAGAAACACTTAATCTGCTGGAAAATAACATAGGTAAAACTCTTGAAGACATAGGCATAGACAAGCACTTTCTGCACAGAACTCCAAAGGCAGAAGAAATAGAACCAAACATCAACAGAAGAGATCCTATCAAATCAGTATGCTTCTTTAAAGGCAATGAAACTACAGAGAGTGCAGAGCCAACTTACAGAATGGGAAAAGTTTCTGCCAGCTATTCCTCAGACAAAAGACTGATATCTACAATGTCTCAACGACTCAAAAAGTTAGACCCTGCAAATAAAAGATCCAATCAAAAGATGGACAATTGAAATAAATAGACATTTCTCCATAGAAGAAGTATGAATGGCAAATAGAGTCTTGAAAATAGGTTTGACACTGCAGGCCACCAGAGATGCAAATTAAAATACTAAGATTCCATCTCGTTTCAGAAAGAATGGCTTTCATCAAGAAATCAAATAACACTAAATGCTGGCAAGGCTGCAGGGGACACGGTACTCTTGCACATTTTTGGTTGGATGGTAAACTGTTACAAACACTCTTGAAATCATTATGGAGTATCTTCAAAAAAGTAAAACTAGAAATTCCATTTGACGCAGATATTCCCCTTCTGTGTATCTTTTTTAAAGAGTTAAAGGCACCACCTTGTAATAATACTCATGTTTATAGCAGCACAATTCATAAAAGCTAAATCAAGTTATCTATACTTCCATCAACAGAGCGATGGAGAAAGAAAATGTGTCATTTAAACACAGTGGAGTACTACTGTACCATTAAATGAGTCATTTGCTGGAAAACGGATGCACTTTGAGACTCTAATGATAAGTAACAGACATCGAGCATACAAGCTTAAATAATTTATGGTTTTTAAATTAAAAAAAGCAAAACTTTATATAAGGAGCAAAATAAAAAAATAGATAATAGGAAGTAGGGTGATGTATTTTGTTGAAACAAGAAGGTGATCAAGGGATGGAGAGTGGAAGAAGAAGGAGGTGAAAAAGGAATGAAAACAATTAAGAAGTGTACTGTACATGTTCCAAGTCCAAGGGATGTGGTGTTATGTAATATAAACATGTACTAATAAAAATAAAAACTGAAAAAATAAAATATCAGTTGAAATAGGTTAAAAAGTCGTTGGAAGGAAAATATAACGTGAAATCAAGACCAAGCATGGAAGTCAGTACAAAATACAGCTGCAAAATCTTATATATCTGTGAGTAATGGCTCCAAGTAAAGACCTGAAATTTCTAGTAGTAGACATGATGCAATTCCAATAGCTTGGCCATTCCAAGTTAGCAATCTTGGACATGATATATAAAGGAATGTATATCATTTTATTTAATTGAATTATAATTAAGTCCCATGTTCAGCTTTGAATACCCAATATTAGGCATACTCTATCTTTAGCAGAAAGATGAGAGAACCTTAAACGCTCATCACATGAAGAAAATGTGTATACATTCTAGGACAAAATTGGAGGATAATAGCCTTTTTTGTTTCAATAAAATATCAGAGCAAGATGGATTTTGGTTTTTATGTAACAATTACCCCTTTTGTATTTAAAAGTAACTTCCAGACATTCCGGAGAGGAGGGTAGCATCTTGCAGCAAAGTTCGCTCAGCAGTTTTCTCAAGACTCTCTCACTTTATGCTTGCCATCCTCACATGATTATTAATTCCTCTCACTTTTACTCTCCACATGTCACTGTCTGGGTGATGAATAATATCATCTTCATTATGATATCTGTAGATTTTCTTCCTTCTCAATTCTAAGATTGACTTAAAGGTTAATGCTTCCAATGGAACAAAGAAAAAAATGAAAGGGCAGTGTCTGCTACTCCGGAAGTCTTGGTTATTTCCTGTATGTTAGATTACAATAACCAAATTCTCTTTTCCTACTAAATGGTTTTACCCACCTTCTTCACCTCTGTGGGATTCTTTTATTTTGTTGGTATGTGCTTGTAAGAATCCTGTGCAAACATTAACTTCTGGAAAACATGTGTGTTTTCTAGTAAAAGATTATTTACTCATCCATTAGGGAGAAGGAATCTTTTAGTTGATATTTTGGGCCATTCTTGGGTAGAGGCGGAAGTAGAGTAGATCTAGGGGGATACATCCAGTGGGCAGGAAGAGAATGTGTTTCCTGGGTACCAGAGCCACCGTCAGACTCTTCAGCAGTGATTAGAGGCAGAGTAGCAGTTGTGTGTGGTTCAGCAGAACATCAAGATTATTTCTGGCTACATAACAATGTAATGCGTGATGCTTTGGCTATATCATGTCACTCCGTAATCACTGTGGTTGATTAGTTTTGAAAGTACAACTCATTGAGGAGTTACCCTGAACCATTCTGGTGCATCTCACCCAACTCATCAGACTGCTCAAAGCCCTACTTCAGCCAAGTGTTTACAGTGGATGTCCAATTTGGGTAGAAACCCAAGACACAAAATTCTACCATTCTACAGATAATGCTAAGGTGCCACTTCTAAAATTTGTTGTCCTTATTTTCATCTTATAGATATTGATATAGAAAAATCATTAAGGAAAACTTTTTAAAATTTGTTTCTTACGGAAGAAAATGTTCTCTCAAGTATGAAGCCATTTCTTTATGAAAAGAGGAAGAAAAAAACAATATACATCATTGTCTATATTTATATTTATAAATTGATATAGATTCATATTGGCAAAGTTATGTTTTGTACTGCATCATCATAATTCAAAATTTTTCATAAACAAACTAAAATATAATTTAGCTTTGATCAATAAATAAAGATCTCAAGTTTGACACATGACAGGCGATTAAATGATGAAAGGAGTTTGAAGGTATTTCACTTGCTCTTAAATGAGAACATTGGCAACATATTTTGCAGAACCAACCTGAACACATTACCTTTGTTGCAGCATCAAAGCAGATAAATCCTGTGCTAAAGTCAATCGTGAGGCCCATTAGATGACTTTCTAGTACACAGGCGTATGTCTTGCACTAGATAGAATAGAGGACACTGTTAGTTTAAGGGGCATGTGACAGATTCTATACTACATAGTTTACACAATGCTTAACTTAAGACCAGCAAAAATTGCATAAAAGAAGTTAGTTCTATAAAGCTTTCACTGCAATAAAACATACGCTAAGAATGTTTCTTTGATCTTGCAATAGATTTTCAGGGTTAAATTTCCACTCCTGTTCCTCAGTAGCTGTCTACATTGTGCACAGCTATCTTTCTTTGTTTTATTGACAATAAATTGTTGCAAAACTTTTAGGTTTGGGTGAGATTATATTAAGTTGTTATATCCGATAGCTAAAATATCACGTTTTTATTAAACCAAAATAGAATTATGATTAAAGATGAAGGCCTTAAATTTTCAGATTACCAATTTCATGTGTACTACTATCAGGAACTCTCAGGAACACTAATACAGATTCTGCAGCCAAGGAAAAATATATCTTGAAATTAAGAGTCTGTAGATGTTCTTCCATACATAAGCCATTATACAAAGGTATTTTTTGATTTGCCTTATACTTGTTTGAATACAGATTCTTTAAGAATCAATATGTATAGTCTGGGGATATGGCATAGTGATACAGTGCTTGCCAAGCATGTACAAAGCCGTGGGTTTCATCTCAACCTTGCAACAGAAGGTAATTAACTAAAAAATACAAGTTATGAATTTTCACATCGAAATCAGATTATATAATAGTTTTATTTATATTAATGTTTAAGATTAACAAATATGGATACTAAAATTTAAAATAAAATAAAATAAAATTTGAAATAACAGCTTTTATATGCAACAATATGCACTGTAATATACAATAAGGTGCTCTCATTTATTTGGTAGCAGGGATGAAATTCAGGTCCTTGAGCTAGCGAGGCAGGCAGTGGAACCACTGAGCTAAATCCTGGGCCCCTACTTTTGTTTATATTTAATTGCAAACTATAGTGAAATGTCTAATTATACTATGAGGTAAAAGCGCGCATTGTAAGTAACTTGTTCTGCAAGTGTTTTACAGACAAGTAAACATTTTAATAAATTTTAACTTGTTATACGAGTGCTACCCTGTAATACAAGTAATACATGATGCTGAACATCATGTTATCAATGGTCCCTGCCCCCTCCCTTTCTCTCTCTCTCTCGCTGCAGGATTGTGGGTTCCCTCTCCCAGCAATACAAGGTTATGGAAGAGATCTCGTCTGCAGGGGAGGAGAAAAAGATGGAGAGAATAGGAAATGGAGAAAACATCAAAAACAGTGCAAAAATTTGTAGAATATACCACTCCAAGGAGACTGTGACAGTGAGAGCTATGAATTTGTCTAAAATGCCATGTCAAATTTCTGTGAAATTGTCAAAAGGAGTTTCAAAAGAGTATCATTGGATAGGTTGTACAAAAAGGAAAAGATTCCTTTGACCCAATAGATAACAGTGATTCTCATAGTGATAGTAAAAGCTGTCCCACACAATTATCTTCCTCTCCTTTGACTCCCTCACACCAGCCATGAAGGTCTGCAAAAATAAGTGCAAATTAATTTTTTAAATATTTTGAATTATTTTATTTTATATTATGTTATAGTATTGTAATTATTTTTATGAATTTTTCTGTGTCGTGAAATGAACTGTGTAAGATTCCATGATTTCTAATGAGAAAACTTGCTTTGATATACAAGTGCTTTGGATTACAAGCATGTTTCCAGAAAGAATTATGTTTTCAAGCCAACATTTTGCTGTATAACGTTTAACAATATAATTTCGTTTGTAATTCACATCTTATATGTGAAATGTAACAAATATATGCAATTCACATATAAGATTAGTAAGACAGTGATCTATACATGTCACATTTTATTTTATTTTATTTTATTTTGGTACCAGGGATTGAACTCGGGTCCTTGAGTTTTCAAGGCAGGCCACCGAACCACTGAGCTAAATCCCCAGCCCTATCTCACATTTTAAATGCAAATTCTTATATGGTATTTGTTTTACAATATTTTAAATAAAATCTATTAAACGAATCACATTTTGATTCTAATCATGGCTTAATACCACAAGTTCTCTTCATCAAAAAGTGATATTCATATTTTGTCTAGTTTTAGAAAAGAAAATTAAGACCATGCCAATTTATCCACAAAGATAGATTTTTCAAAACAGTAAATTAAAGTCCATACTTAATGAGCTTCAAAAGTATAATTTATAAGTAATTATATTTGCTTAATACATGGTCATCTTGCATATATATAAATATCAATTCAATAGTACTTTTTCAAAGTATCAACATTAATGAATGTTTAAGGCTATATCATTTTCTCCTAATTTAGGTTTCTTTTCTAATTTCAACTATTGTCTTTATTTTAAAAAGAATATTTTATCTGGGCATGGTGCTGCATACCTATAATCCCAGTTCTTGGGAGCCTGAGGCAGAAAGATTTGCTGTGAGTTCAAGGCCATAGTGAGTTAGGCAGGCCTGAACTGCACAGCCAAAATCTTGTCTCACACACACACACACACACACACACACACACACACACCCATACACACACACACACACACACACACACACACACTATTCCAGGTCAAAACAAATTTAGTATAATACATTATTTCATATTAACTTTAGAAATACTGTTCAAATTGCATATCAAAAATATTTAAGTGAAGAAAATAGATATATTTAGAGCCCTATTAAGTTTGATTTTATAACATAATGTTAGTAAATATATATTATGAGCTTACTTACTATTTGTTAATATTGAAATATTTTCTGTTTAATTTCTGTTTATGCAATGGTAACTGAATTATAGTAGAAAAATGATAAAATTTTTCTTTTTAGGGAAGCATAAACAAAGACACTTTTCAGTTATGCATTAGGAAACATTTGAAGATAAATCATGGACAGCATAAAGTTTATAGAATGTTTTCTGATTATGGAAAAATGTCTATAGCCAGATAAAATATTTACAAAATTGTTTCAAAATAAGATAAATTACACAAATTTTTGAAAGTAATGTACATTTTCATAAAATTCACTTTAAAATAGTTAAATTAATTCAAATTAGATTAGTGTATGGTTATAAACCCTGCCCCTTATAAGTGATATTCATTTATTCTAAGAAAATTTAAAGACACTAAAAATACTATAAGTGAATTAGATCTGTTACTACTAGCTTAACATCAGTGAAATATAAGATTTTACTCATATAAATTTTCATTACCTTGTTTCATTATTTGATATATATATTTAAATTTCAGAGCATTATTTTGACATTATGGAACATTTTAGAAATCCATGCTTTCCATGGGTCATCCTTTTAAATAAATGTGTAAGTATTTATAATACTCAAGCATAATAGGGATTAGAAACAATGTGAAAAATTGATTTAAAAGACTAGAAGCCATAAAATGTTAGTTTAGTCTTGTTAACAGCTACAATTTCAAAGCAAGAAGTGAATTTATTTATGAATTCAATGATGGTATCAGTTTATTAATTTTCTTCTTTTCTGTCTGTTTTCCAATACAGCTCTTGTTCTATTTTATTTTCTAACTAAATTTAGTATGAGTGAAATATTGATAATATAAAGGTAAAACACATAAGTCTTCATATAAATATAAGCAAATATTTTAATATTGAAAATCACACTACCAAATTTGCAGCCAATGATTGCTAATTCTGAACGTAATATGCAAACAGAAATCATAAAGTATGGAGAAAAACTAAAACTTAAAAATGAAATACATTACTTTTCACTTCTGACATGCATCTTAAACTGGCATTAGAAGTAGGTAAGAACACAATTCAAAGGATTCCACTGAATAACATCTTAGAAAATTCAAAAGTCCAGAATCCCAGAAGAGTAATTAACATACAAAGCAAAAACAATTTCTTCTCTGTCTCACCTCTAGGCAACAGATACTTATAATAAAATCTTAACTTGGGATCAACTTGCAGAATTTGTCATGTTTTTTTTTTCTAAGTAAAGTGGAATTTTCTAGAAAAACAGTAAGTGGATAAGCTGAAAAAAAATTAATAAAATTTCAACTGGTGTTCAATTGAAGCATATTAGCTTTTTAAATGATTTTAGATTTTGATGCAGAATAATGTTGAATATTTCTCATCATATCTATTTTAATAAAGTCATATACTTCTAAATTATGAAAAGTAGTTCAAGATATCTCATTATTTTTAAATATAGGCAGACAAAAGTAAAATTGTTAGAAAGGGTCAAGTAGAAATGAAACAATTTAAATTTGAGATTTCTCTATTTCTCCTTTAATTGTAATGTCATATTAACACATATTGAAAAAGTGCATATTGAGATTTATAGTGTGAAAAAGTAATCAGTTTAATATGCATATTGAGTTCCTTTTACAGATAAATATTCTGGTATCATTAAAGTGGTATTATTATCCTATTGGCTTTCAAAATTAAGGGTCCATTTAGACTTTGTGAATCATTTTGCATGGGACAAGTGCATCCCAACCTTCAGATGTGTTACAGGTCAGCCACAGAACAAATCTGGGTTCCATTTTTTACTTTCTTGAATTGTAGAAACTGAAGGTTCTATGAAGTTTGATTTATATATGACTCCATACTAAAGAAATACAATTTAGTAAATATTTATTGAATAATTATGATACACTACATGCATTATACTTCAGTTGGTAGATGAGTAAAATAACCTCAAGCTTCCTACATTTTAGTGTAGGAAGTGACAAGCATGCCACTCCAGTCCTAGACAGAATGTAAGTGATCCTAAGAAAATGAACAAAAGGTGATACTGTCTTTGGAAGGAAGAAGATGGAAGAATATGAAAAGAATGTGCAGGGAAGAGTTTTAATTGCTGGGTTGGGCATACTAAAAATCAGGAAAATGTTGAAGGATGATCTTATCTTTGGAAAAACAGTTTCAGATATGATTGACTTTGAAGGGCATAGATAAGAGAAGGGAAGAAAGAGCTCTCTGAATGAATGAAGGTAGCAAGCTACAAATTAGTCTGGGGACCAGGACATGGTCTTATTACAACTAACTGAAATTGGAGTGTCAGATTCAAATTACAGTAATGTCTAACTGAAATTATAAATGCATTTTTGATGATCCTAGGAAATAACCTAGAAAGGTAAAATTGTGATAATTTAAACATTGTTTCATTTGACAATAATGGCTAATTCTTGTGAATGTATTTGATAAGGAGGTCAAGGTTCATTGAGCTACTTTTATACTACTTTAAGCATAAACTATAATTCTGAGATTAATTACATAACCCTGAAAAGCAGTGATTCTATATTCCATAGACTCTCACCTGTATCCGTTCCACTTCTAGAAAAGTGGCTGTTTGGAAGGCTCTTTCCCACTGAGCGAGGTCACTCTCTAACTCCACGGAGAAGTAGAGGTCCTCCCCAGATTCAGACTGCACAGTGAAGCAATGTTTCCGCCGGTCCAGTAGGTCACTGTCCTGATGAAAACCTGGAGTTACACAGGCTGGCATACAACAATTCCTATCCCAACTATGGCCACACCTCACATCAGTGTTGACAAGTGCAAGGTACAGAAGCCAGTCAAAAAGGTAACTCTCTATACTGTACCATAGACCTTATTAAAAATGATTACAGCAACCAAAACTGCAGCCTTGAAAGTCCACAACTAACAGATTATTTCAGTGTTACCACTGTAGCTTGTCCATGAAACAGACATTAAGGTTTCTGGTTTCAATTCTAATTAGTAACGTGGCTACAAAAATATAATATTCTCAACTTGGTTTATAATTATATGAAGGGATAACACATCATATTCTCTCTTCTGTACAGAGACATTGAAATCAAACAGTGCTTATGATTATGTTCGCAAATTTTAAAGAGCCAAATACATAAGCAAGGTTCTTACTGAATTTATTTCCAAATGTCATTAAGAATCATGAAGCCATGGTGTTATGGTTTGGATCTTAAATGTCCACCAAAAGCTCTGCAGTGAAGGGTTGGTCCTCCGGGCAGCAGTGTTTAGAAGGGGGCATTATGGGGATTATTGGATCACAAAAGCTTTAAATTCATGAGTGGATTAATACATTTATGAACTCATATGTTAATGTGTTTCAGGGAAGGGACTGTTATGAAGTTTTCTTTGCTTTTCACCACAATGAACATTAGCTATGCCCTGCCACCTACTTCCTCCATATTTGGACTCACCACTTGTGAGCATGGAATAAAAACCTTTGAAACTCTGAGAGTTTCTTTCTTCAAGTCGATTGACATCTAATATTTCATCATAGCACTGGAAAACTACTAGACACAGGGAAAAAAAAGGTCTATTGTGCCTACAGTGATGATATTGTATTTTTCTTTAAAAATCTCCAAATTTGCCATACATATGTACCTTCATTTTATTGAGTAACAAATAAACAAACAAACAAAAACCCCACAACTTTCATCCTGATAAGTTCTTGGTATTGCTAGAAAATTTCAAGTAAAGCATTCACTAGTTTCAATGTATCTCAAGTCCAATGTGTTTTCCAATTTTGAGATGTTAAAATGTGAAAAAATACAGGTAAGAAATTATTAAACGCAATTTGTCAGTCAACTACGCAATGCGTATTTTCAGTACACTGCATACTGAATAAGATTTTCAAAAGTTTGATCATTAATATCCTTAATCATTTCCATCAACGGAGGTATGGACATAAACATATTATCATTAGACATCTAAAATTTTGTTAGATGAAATTCTCTGTTCATTAGGCCATGACTAAAAAATGGATAACTATTTTCTGTTTTCCTATTTGGGTTCCAATAATTTCTGGAAAAGAGCTAATAAAAAGAAGTTACTTCTAAGGTTGTGGAATTTAACTATGACATTTGCTACAAGTAGATGCTCAAAAAGCTAAAGAACAATGTAATCCTTTTATGTTCATGGTTTTCCTATTTTTTCTATAGGATAAAATTTTAAAAAGTTGTGTTTGATGAGTACAGTTTAAAGGTAAACAGGTTGTAAAGTAATTTTAAGTTATTTGGACTGTATGTCTAGGGAGAACTTCAGCAACAGCCAGTAAAAATACAACCACACCAATAAACATGGTAATACAAAGTATTATAAATGCCATTATAAAAAGTAACAATGAGATATTATATTACTATAGATTGGGAAGTCACAGAAATGTTCTTTAGGAAGTAAATTTTAAACAGTCATTAAAAAGTGAGTAGGAGATGAATTATAAAACTGGCAATAAAAGTATTTCCAGAGGGAAGAGCTGGGAGTGCCAGAATGCTCAAGCAAGTATCGGTGAGGGTGCATTCCAGAAACCTGAAGTAAAAGGTGAGCAACATTGAGATCTGAGGCTGGAGCAGGAGTTGAGGACACCAGTCAAGTAATGAATTTTGCTCTTGAACATAAGTCTAATGACAAGATATTTTATCAAAATTTTAGTATATCCTCTATCTATGCTGTAGATATTTTGAGATCTACATTAACTTTAAAAAATTAATAACATTGGCAGAAAAATTATTACTAAACATTGCAGATTTTCAGAAACTTGGACAATTTTATGGTTCAACCATTGGTTTTAAAGTTCCTTCTAACAAAAATGTTAATCAGACCATCAGTAAGTGCACACAGATACTGGTGAACAGCAGTGTGGACCACAGCAGCTGCAGGGAGATCCTAGCCAAGACTCTACTTTGCCCCCTGCCATTTGGGCACCCTGGACCAAGTCAAGGGCCTGTTTGGAAAAGAGCTGCATAAGCTCACAAGCAACAGCAAGAGGTTCAGCCCAATACCTTTGGTAATTAGACAGTGACCTTAGCCAGAAGCCTACTTTGACACTGGGTGCACAGCTCCCAGACAAAGGTCCTCCCAGACAACAACTACATAAGGAAGCAGGCCCTAACCAGAGGAATGACTAGATACCATCACAAGTATACACGAACCACAGGCAGAAGCCTTTATAGATGATAGGTCAGCTCAGGGATCCAGAAGGCAACAATTCTGAACCCAGGAATTGGAACACTGGTGAGCAGCAGAGAAAAGGTTGCTCAAATGTTTGTTAAGAATTGACCATTGGGTGAGCAAAATGTTACCTCAACAGGGGTTGGGGATTTAGCTCAGTGGTTTCTCCTGCTTTCCAAGTGCAAGGTCCTGAGTTTGATTCCCCCATACCCCCCAAAAAAAGTTGCTTCAACAAGAAGCACAGCAGGCTGCATCTGTTGAAATGAGAAAACAAGTAAACGAGTCTCAAAAACAGACTTCCAGATCATCTAAACCAAGCCCAAAGGGAAACAAAATGAAAGAAAATGATATTCAACCACCTGGACTCCCAGAACTGGCAATTAAATAGGATCTGGAAAAAATGAAATCAGAAAAAATTTCTCAGATAACAACAGAGATTGTGCCCATAGTGCAAGATACGATTAATAAATTTAGAATTGACACCAATTAAAAAAAATAGAGGATCTGAGGAACATGATGGAATCCCAACATAGGAACCAAACGGAATCCATAAAAGAGATGCAAACAGATTTCCAGGACATTAAAAATTCCATTGAAAGTTTATTCAGCAGAATGAGCAATGTGAGGACAGAATTTCAGATATAGAAGATAGGATTGCAATTAGTGACCAGGAAAAGAAAAAAATTTTTAGAAATAGTAAGGGACAACAAGAAATTAATCCAGCAGCTCTTAGACAATAGAAAGAAGAATAACATAAGAATTATCAATCAATGAAGAAACAGGAGAGAGTTCAGACGACATAAAAATAAAATTGTTCACAGAAGTAATAGCAAAAAACTTCCCAAATGGGGGGAAAATTTTGACATACAGATAAGTGAGGCATATAGCATTCCAACTAGGTATGATTTAAAAAAAAACTACATTATGCATATAATTGTTAAGATTCCAGAAACATAACAGAAGAAAAATAATTTACAGGCATTTAGAGAAAAGAAACAAATCACATACAAAAGAAAGCCCATCAGAATCACAGCAGACTTCTGAACACAAACCATCAAGGCAAAAGGAGCTTGGAGTGATGCATTTTAATCCCTAAAGGAAAACAGCCTCCAACCTAGATTGATGTACTCTGCCAAATTATCTTTCAAAATTAATGGGGAAATGAGATACTTTCATGAAAAAGAGCACTATAGGAACTTCATGAATAACAAACCAGCTCTCCAAAAATGCTAAACAATATCCCAGCAAAAGACAATGATGATTACAACCCAAAGAGTCCCTGTAGAATGAATCTATCAGGAATGAAAGGAAATGAAATGCAAAGGGGGAGAATCCAACAAAAAGGGGCTAAAGGCGTAGGGAAAGTGGGGAGGGTAGGGGAAAGGTAATAAGGGAAAATAAAAAATATGAGAAAATAAAAAAATGGAAATAAAGAATTTGTAAACGGGAAGGGGAGGAGGGGGTAAAGGGAAGGCAGGGACAAGGGGAAAAAGCGAGAACCAAGACCTGCCATGTAAAGGTACAAGACCTCAATAATGAATGTAATTGTTTTGTATACCTAGAATGTACCATTAAACTCAATTAAAGAAAGCCATGACAGAGATAAGCCAATACATGCCAGTTATAACCATCAATGTTAATGGTCTCCATTCACCAATCAAAAGAAATAGGCTGACAAAATGTGTCAAGAAGCAAGACCAGCAGAGATCCAGAGGATCAATATACACTTTGTGAACCTATAAACCAATAAGATGTAAAACAAAGAAATGGACAGATTTCTACATACATATGAATTACTAAATTTTAATGAAGATTTAAAAAGTTCTAAACAACCCAATATCAATCAGTGAAATTGAAAACATAATTGAAACCTTACTGACAAAGGAAAGCCCAGGCCCTGATGACTTTACTGCTGAATTCTACAACACATTTAGGGAGGAACTACTGCCACTACTGTTTAAACTCTCCAATGAAATTAAAAGGGAAGCAATACTCCCAAATTCATTCCTAGAAGCAAGTATAACCTTGATCCCCAAAGCAGAGAATGACCCAAATGAAAAAAAGAATGATAGGTCAATCTCCTAATGAACATAGATGCAGAAATCCATTGTTAGATACTGGCAAATAGAATGCAGATCATCAGGAAGATCATACACCCTAACCAAGTCAGATTCATCCTAGGGATGCAGGGATGGATCAACATATGCAAATCAATAAATGTAATACACTATATTAACAGAGCCAAAAACAAAAACCATATGAACATCTCAATAGATGCAGAACAAACATTTCATAAAATCCAACATGTTCATGATGAAAACCCTACAAATATTGGAACTAGATATTCTCTACCTCAATCTGATAAAAGACATCTATGAAAAGCCAACAGCAAACATTATACTAAATGCTCAAAATCCTTCACACTAAAATTAGGAACAAGATAAGGATGTCCACTATCACCACTCCTGTTCAATATAGTTTTGGAAATGTCAGTCACAGCAATTAGACAAGAGAAAGAAA